GAGAGAGAGAGAGAGAGAGAGAGAGAGAGAGAGAGAGGAAAGGAGGCAAAGTGAACATGGAAAAAGTTTTTAAATGGAAGCTTGTTTCTGCCATGGGATGAAAAAAAATAAAAAGGTAATTGCAATTATTAATCTCACAATTCTGACTTTTTTCTCGCAATTCCGAGTTTATATCTCACAGAGAAATATTAAAACAGCAGAAAGAAAAAAAGTCTGAATTGTGAGATGAACAGCTTCAATTACCAATTTTATTTTGTGGCAGAAAAAAAGAACTGTGAGAATTAAACATTCTGAGGGGGAAAAAAATCATTCAGGGTTATTAGTTAACTACTAACACCATAATAAAAACTTCTGTTACTTGAAATAAGTAATTTTCATTTAGTATAATCAGAGCCGATTCTCCCTTTACGCAAAATACGCAAGCTGCCCCCGAAACAGCAGGGGGCCCCCTTGCTCTCAAAGATGATTTAATTTTAGATTCGTTTTTGAATTTGGCCAGCGGTTATGAAAACATGAATGATCGTTTCTTTTAATGCGGTGCGCTGTCAACCTTTCTACATAAAAATCAGTCAATTCATGTAATGCGAATGTCGTACAGTCTTGCTTGAGACTAAAAAAAACAAGTTAAAAGTGTACCGAGCCATGGAAGAGACACTGAGCCCTATCATACACCCGGCGCAATGCGGCGCCAGGCACGACACAAGTGTTTTTTGCTAGTTTCAGCCAGATGCAGTAGTCATTTTCACGTCCTGCGCCACATTGTTTAAATAGCAAATGCATTTACGCCCCTTTGTGCACCCATGGGCGTGCTGGTCTAAAAAAACGAAGTGTGTTCAGGTGCATTGCTGGCGCGTTGATATTTTGAGGCAACTGAAATAGACTGCTCCATTGACCAACAAAAATCTGGTCTAAAGTCAATGGCGCAGTAGTTTTTTTGGTATTTAAAGAGCGTGTTAGTATAGGCGGGTCCACAGCGCATGTACACTCTGCTTATTACACACACAGGGACGCACAGCAGCACACAAACATGCCAAATATTACAAATTAAAAGATTGTCAAAGATTATTATTGTGTAGGCTACATAAATATAATCATGCCTACATGCCATAATGGATAGTCATTGATTTTTTCAGAAGTAGGCTACCAATTTGCTCGCGCACGAGCAGATCCATTTCCTCTTTGGAGACGCGTTCTGTCTTTGCGCTTGCAAATTCCGCCGTGTAAATAGAGAATCCGCCATGGCACAAGCACAGCTGGCTCTTAAAGGGAATGGGAGATGAGACTCCGATTGGTTTATTGCACGTTATCCCATTACTCATTAAGAGAATAGGGACAACCCTTTTAGACCATGCGCCGAGCGAGCCGACTGTTTTTCCTGTCGTTAAACTAGCAAAAGTGGATTTGGACACTCCCTAAGTGCACCTGCGCCGTGCGCTTTAGACCATGTGCTTAGATCGTTAAGATAGGGCCCACTGCTTTCCGCGAACGCGATTCGAGACGGAGTGAAACACGAACAAATGAGTGTCATTCATTTGTTCATAAGCACTCATATCCCACTTCACCACTTTTTGCTAGTTTCAGCCCGACGAAGCTATCATTTTCATGTCCAGCATCACATTGTTTAAATAGCAAATGTATTCGCGCCCATTTGTGCGCTCATTGGCATGCTGGTTTGAAAACGAGGTGTGTTCAGGCACATAGTTGGCGTGTTGCTATTTTGAGGCAACTGGAATTGACTGCTCCTTTGACTAACTGGTCTAAAGTCAATGGCACAGTATTTTTTTTATTATTTAAAGAGCGTGTTAGTAATATGCGCCTATAAGCGGGTGCACAACGTGCGTACACTCTGCTTATTACACACACAGGGACGCGCAGCAGCACACAAACATGCCAGATATTAAAAATTAAAGGATTACAATGTAAAATATTATTATTGTGTAAGCTACATAAATATAAAAATGCCTACATGTCATAATGGACAGTCATTGCATGTATCAGAATTAGGCTACCTATTTGCTCGTGCACGAGCAGATCAGTTTCCTCTCTGGAGATGCGTTCAGTCTTTGCGCTTGCAAATTCCGCCGTATAAATAGCGAATCCGCCATGGCGCGAGCGCAACTGGCTCTTAAAGGGAATGGGAGATGAGACTCTGATTAATTTATTGCATGCTATACCCAAAACTCCCTAAGTGCACCTGCGCCGTGCGCTTTAGACCATGTGCTTAGATCGTTAAGATAGGGCCCACTGCTTTCCGCGAACGCGATTCGAGACGGAGTGAAACACGAACAAATGAGTGTCATTCATTTGTTCATAAGCACTCATATCCCACTTCACCACTTTTTGCTAGTTTCAGCCCGACGAAGCTATCATTTTCATGTCCAGCATCACATTGTTTAAATAGCAAATGTATTCGCGCCCATTTGTGCGCTCATTGGCATGCTGGTTTGAAAACGAGGTGTGTTCAGGCACATAGTTGGCGTGTTGCTATTTTGAGGCAACTGGAATTGACTGCTCCTTTGACTAACTGGTCTAAAGTCAATGGCACAGTATTTTTTTTATTATTTAAAGAGCGTGTTAGTAATATGCGCCTATAAGCGGGTGCACAACGTGCGTACACTCTGCTTATTACACACACAGGGACGCACAGCAGCACACAAACATGCCAAATATTACAAATTAAAAGATTGTCAAAGATTATTATTGTGTAGGCTACATAAATATAATCATGCCTACATGCCATAATGGATAGTCATTGATTTTTTCAGAAGTAGGCTACCAATTTGCTCGCGCACGAGCAGATCCATTTCCTCTTTGGAGACGCGTTCTGTCTTTGCGCTTGCAAATTCCGCCGTGTAAATAGAGAATCCGCCATGGCACAAGCACAGCTGGCTCTTAAAGGGAATGGGAGATGAGACTCCGATTGGTTTATTGCACGTTATCCCATTACTCATTAAGAGAATAGGGACAACCCTTTTAGACCATGCGCCGAGCGAGCCGACTGTTTTTCCTGTCGTTAAACTAGCAAAAGTGGATTTGGACACTCCCTAAGTGCACCTGCGCCGTGCGCTTTAGACCATGTGCTTAGATCGTTAAGATAGGGCCCACTGCTTTCCGCGAACGCGATTCGAGACGGAGTGAAACACGAACAAATGAGTGTCATTCATTTGTTCATAAGCACTCATATCCCACTTCACCACTTTTTGCTAGTTTCAGCCCGACGAAGCTATCATTTTCATGTCCAGCATCACATTGTTTAAATAGCAAATGTATTCGCGCCCATTTGTGCGCTCATTGGCATGCTGGTTTGAAAACGAGGTGTGTTCAGGCACATAGTTGGCGTGTTGCTATTTTGAGGCAACTGGAATTGACTGCTCCTTTGACTAACTGGTCTAAAGTCAATGGCACAGTATTTTTTTTATTATTTAAAGAGCGTGTTAGTAATATGCGCCTATAAGCGGGTGCACAACGTGCGTACACTCTGCTTATTACACACACAGGGACGCACAGCAGCACACAAACATGCCAAATATTACAAATTAAAAGATTGTCAAAGATTATTATTGTGTAGGCTACATAAATATAATCATGCCTACATGCCATAATGGATAGTCATTGATTTTTTCAGAAGTAGGCTACCAATTTGCTCGCGCACGAGCAGATCCATTTCCTCTTTGGAGACGCGTTCTGTCTTTGCGCTTGCAAATTCCGCCGTGTAAATAGAGAATCCGCCATGGCACAAGCACAGCTGGCTCTTAAAGGGAATGGGAGATGAGACTCCGATTGGTTTATTGCACGTTATCCCATTACTCATTAAGAGAATAGGGACAACCCTTTTAGACCATGCGCCGAGCGAGCCGACTGTTTTTCCTGTCGTTAAACTAGCAAAAGTGGATTTGGACACTCCCTAAGTGCACCTGCGCCGTGCGCTTTAGACCATGTGCTTAGATCGTTAAGATAGGGCCCACTGCTTTCCGCGAACGCGATTCGAGACGGAGTGAAACACGAACAAATGAGTGTCATTCATTTGTTCATAAGCACTCATATCCCACTTCACCACTTTTTGCTAGTTTCAGCCCGACGAAGCTATCATTTTCATGTCCAGCATCACATTGTTTAAATAGCAAATGTATTCGCGCCCATTTGTGCGCTCATTGGCATGCTGGTTTGAAAACGAGGTGTGTTCAGGCACATAGTTGGCGTGTTGCTATTTTGAGGCAACTGGAATTGACTGCTCCTTTGACTAACTGGTCTAAAGTCAATGGCACAGTATTTTTTTTATTATTTAAAGAGCGTGTTAGTAATATGCGCCTATAAGCGGGTGCACAACGTGCGTACACTCTGCTTATTACACACACAGGGACGCACAGCAGCACACAAACATGCCAAATATTACAAATTAAAAGATTGTCAAAGATTATTATTGTGTAGGCTACATAAATATAATCATGCCTACATGCCATAATGGATAGTCATTGATTTTTTCAGAAGTAGGCTACCAATTTGCTCGCGCACGAGCAGATCCATTTCCTCTTTGGAGACGCGTTCTGTCTTTGCGCTTGCAAATTCCGCCGTGTAAATAGAGAATCCGCCATGGCACAAGCACAGCTGGCTCTTAAAGGGAATGGGAGATGAGACTCCGATTGGTTTATTGCACGTTATCCCATTACTCATTAAGAGAATAGGGACAACCCTTTTAGACCATGCGCCGAGCGAGCCGACTGTTTTTCCTGTCGTTAAACTAGCAAAAGTGGATTTGGACACTCCCTAAGTGCACCTGCGCCGTGCGCTTTAGACCATGTGCTTAGATCGTTAAGATAGGGCCCACTGCTTTCCGCGAACGCGATTCGAGACGGAGTGAAACACGAACAAATGAGTGTCATTCATTTGTTCATAAGCACTCATATCCCACTTCACCACTTTTTGCTAGTTTCAGCCCGACGAAGCTATCATTTTCATGTCCAGCATCACATTGTTTAAATAGCAAATGTATTCGCGCCCATTTGTGCGCTCATTGGCATGCTGGTTTGAAAACGAGGTGTGTTCAGGCACATAGTTGGCGTGTTGCTATTTTGAGGCAACTGGAATTGACTGCTCCTTTGACTAACTGGTCTAAAGTCAATGGCACAGTATTTTTTTTATTATTTAAAGAGCGTGTTAGTAATATGCGCCTATAAGCGGGTGCACAACGTGCGTACACTCTGCTTATTACACACACAGGGACGCGCAGCAGCACACAAACATGCCAGATATTAAAAATTAAAGGATTACAATGTAAAATATTATTATTGTGTAAGCTACATAAATATAAAAATGCCTACATGTCATAATGGACAGTCATTGCATGTATCAGAATTAGGCTACCTATTTGCTCGTGCACGAGCAGATCAGTTTCCTCTCTGGAGATGCGTTCAGTCTTTGCGCTTGCAAATTCCGCCGTATAAATAGCGAATCCGCCATGGCGCGAGCGCAACTGGCTCTTAAAGGGAATGGGAGATGAGACTCTGATTAATTTATTGCATGCTATACCCAAAACACACCCATTACTCATTAAGAGAATAGGGACAACCTTTTTAGACCGTTTTTCCCATCATTAAACTAGCAAAAGTGGAATCGGACACTTTTCAGCAGCACACAAACATGCCAGATATTAAAAATTAAAGGATTACAATGTAAAATATTATTATTGTGTAAGCTACATAAATATAAAAATGCCTACATGTCATAATGGACAGTCATTGCATGTATCAGAATTAGGCTACCTATTTGCTCGTGCACGAGCAGATCAGTTTCCTCTCTGGAGATGCGTTCAGTCTTTGCGCTTGCAAATTCCGCCGTATAAATAGCGAATCCGCCATGGCGCGAGCGCAACTGGCTCTTAAAGGGAATGGGAGATGAGACTCTGATTAATTTATTGCATGCTATACCCAAAACACACCCATTACTCATTAAGAGAATAGGGACAACCTTTTTAGACCATTTTTCCCATCATTAAACTAGCAAAAGTGGAATCGGACACTTTCTAAGTGCACCTGCGCCATGCGCTTTAGATCATACGCTTAGATCGTTAAAATAGGCCCCATAATTGCAAAAAAAAGAAGGTCGCAATTATTCTGAGATAAAAATTCACAATTACCTTTTTTAATAATTTTTTAAAGATACATTTTAAATAAATGAACACAAATAAAATAAGACTACCCAACATTTATGCTGCGTATGACAAAACACTGGTGTCATACCCATGATCCCCATAAAAAAGGCAGCTCTCTGCAGTGTGGAAACAGCCTCCATCCATCACACCGAGGCTGTAGCTCCAAGCTAAAAGCACCACCACCGACTGATCCGAGATAAGAGTGTCATAACATCCACACTAATTACAGCCGTCTGCGGCCCGGCCCACAGGCTGACCTCAGAGCAGAACTCACATTGCATTGTGACCTCGATGATACAGTTCTCCTCTCCTACATCGTTGCTGGCGGTGCACTTGTAGACCCCAGAGCTGTCCTGCGTCAAATTCCTCAAGGTCACGATCTCTGGGTTCTTCAGATCTGAAAATAGAACGCAATTTATATTGCTGTACATATATGAGCTGAAACACAACTACAATCTATTAGCTTGGACGTTTTGGCAATTGTAATTGTTTATTTTTTCAGCTACACATAAGCCAGAATCTGCCTCCATCGATCAACAACAGATGCACTGAACCGTTTTACTCGGATATATGTCACAATACAGAAGAAACAATCTGATGCTGCTTTCATTACATCACGGCTTTAAAGGGTTAAAATCACCACCAGTCCCCTAAGAAGAATTAGATATAGGTGTGTTTTATTTTGAAGGTTTTCTCTTATGTCCACTGCTCAAGGACACAATGCTGATGAAGCAGGATTATGATATTAGTAACTCTCCAGTCCTGAAGCTACAAAACAGCATTAGCAGTGTTACGCGTCTTTCACTACTTCCTTTACCACTCTACTTTACAGGCTTCAGTCAAACAGAGTGAGGAGAGAAGTGAGAGAGAGCCCAGTGCAGTGAATGAATTAGTGTTTGAGTGTGTCAAGGTGATTCACGGTTCTACTGAACTCCAGCGGATGAGATGAATAGTATATGTTTTCCTGTAGCCGGTGAGAAAGCTCTCGTGTCCTGAGAACTGAGAACCTCACGTGTGTTTTTAGCCGAGGAGTGTTTGTCAGCCGGAGCGATTTGAGACGCTGGGATCATTTACTCTTCCAGGATCTAACGCCTCCTCTTTCATTCCTGCATCCCTGTCCCATCATCCTTCTCTCTCATCCACTATCTGCTGTGAATTCTGGGGTGGAGGTGTGTTTATCGGCCAAAGAAAGCTGATTAGAGTGAGCAGGTGGTCATTGATGAGGCTGGTTAATTGTTGAGTTTGGGTGAGGGTCTGCAGCACTGACTGCAAGCGACTAAATAGATTGTAAAACAATATGTGGCTCTGATGATCTGGTGTCAGCAGGAGAAATCACTCTGAATCAGTGCATTACTCTGTCCCATCTGCAAAGCCATATTACACTCAAATTTGTGTAGCTCTTGCACTTTTGTTGTTTTGTTTTCCCAAGCAGAACCCAATGAGATTGAATTCTAATGTAATAACTGCCAAAAGCTGTTGAACATCTTTTGCTGGATTTTATTATGTAGTTGAGACATTTTTTTTGTCATTTTTTTTTAGCCTACCCAAGGTCCATATGATGCATTCTAGACGTGGGTGGTGTAACTGAAATTTGTAATTCTAATTTCATAGTTTATCACAGTAAAAGCTTATTTCATAATAGTTCAGCTGGGAAACAACGGTTCAAAAGTTGAAAAACGTAAGAAATTAATACTTTTATTCAGCAAGGATGCATTCAATTGATCAAAAGTGACTGTAAAAGACTTTCTATTCATCAAAGAATCCTGAACTGAAATAAATCCGTTATCTGAATTAAAATAAAATGCAATTCATTTTAACATCGATGCAATAAATAAAACTTAAACTGGAAAAAAAAGTTTAAAAAAACAAAACATATAAACACACAACAAAATGACTAAAAACTAAATTTAAAAAAAAATACAACTGACATTAAAACAAAAAAATAATAAAATTATGCAAAAATTAAGTAAACACTAAAATAAAATTAAAAACTAAAATAGTATCTCCATCACACTAAAACAGTACTGATGACAATTATTTACTACATGCTAAGGAAATAATAATATAATATAATATAATACAATTTTTATATAATAAAAATATTGTGTTTCCACAAAATACTGAATATCACAACCATTTTTATCATTTATAATAATAAGAAATGTTTGATGAACAGCAAATTTCTGAAGGATCTTGTGACATTTTCCCTCGAAAATTCAGCTTTGCATCACAGGAATAAATTACATTTAAGATATATTCAAGTAGAAAACATTTATTTGAAATTTGTAATATTATTTCACAATATTACTGATTTTTTCTAACAGAACCTTTGAACAGAACTGAATCTACAAAATATGTTTGAAGGCATGTGTGACTGAGTAGACTATGCTTGTGTTTCGATCGTACTGCATTTACCGATATAATACCGCACAGGCCTAATCCATAGAGGCTAATATCAATAGAGCTATTGAGATCTCTTCTAATCTCATTGTCTGTTTGCCATGCAACGTCTGCGATTCAGAGAGCACAGGTTTAATCTGCAACAATCAGCACTTCTGTGCAAAAACTACTCGATGCATTTGCTAAAGTGTGTGAAGTTCATGGCATCAGATCTTTCGATATTATTATTTGAGACAGTCAGCAGCAAGGAACTGTACAGACCAGAATAAGTTATGATACGCTCTAGTCTCGCTTGCCAGGCTTTGGGGTGTTTGACTCACCGATGAGTGCGCGGGAAGGCAGTTTTCCCACGCTCTTGCCCTTATCCAGAACTCTCTCCCATTTGTATTGAATAGGGTCGGATCCGTCTGAAGACTTACAGCTCAGTTTCACATCACTGCCCTCCAGAAGCCGGCCCTCCATCCAGCAGCGGGGTTTAGACGGCTTCACTGTGAACGAGAAAATGCTCATGTTAAGTTTACTAATTAGTCGTTTAATAATTATTTCCAAAAGCAGCTTACTATGGAATCCACAGGTGCTTAAATGCCGTTTTCATGGGCATAACAGTGGAACTTCAAGGATCGATCCTTGTGGTTGTAAACCAAATATCATTTAGTTACAGGTTTTATTTAACATTTATTTAACATTAAGAATTAGTTTAGGTAACTACAACAACCCTGATATATCATCATATATAGTATACAGTATATACTATATACGCAAACAGCATACTGGTACATACACACACACACATATATATATATATATATATATATATATACTGTATACACACACACACACACACACACACACACACATACAGATGTGTCCATTAAGAATGCACTTTTTTTTCTCACGGCAGCACGCAATTCGTCACTTTTCGTCAGATTTTTAGTAATAATATTTTGAGAATAAAGGCGTAGGATTATGTATAACCGCGTTTTAGTGCCACGTTAAAAAAAATCTAAGATAATATTTTGAGAAAAAAGTACAAGAATAAAGCTGTAGCAATATGAGAATAAAGTCGAAATATTTTGAGAATAAATTCAAAATTACAAGAATTAAGCATAGCATGTGTCATATACTCCCAGGGACAGTATGCTTGAAAATAATATTTCATGTCTTCGGTTGCATTTATTATTTGTAGTGCACCAGTCCTCCAATGATAGCAATACGCTTTGTGCTTTTGGTACTTTTAATAAAAAACAAAGCCTCAACTTTCAAATTCTGTCAGTTTTATAGCGAAATACAAACAATATGTCTTACAATAATGTGTTTTTTATGCTCTTTAATGTGACATGACAGAACACTGTATTCGCATCAGTTAAAGCGGCATGAGAATCAATCATATTTTCATTTACGAATGAGACATTTGTTTAATTAAATTATACTGTTTTTTATGCCTTCTGATGTATAACTTGTAATAAATGTATTTCGTGATAAAACTGACAGAATTTTAACTTTATTTTTTTTTTGCTATGCTGTTTGTGTATATAGTGTCAAACAATATATAGTTTGATACGTTGAAGCAGTATTTCAAAATTTCAGATGAAACTAAAACTTGCAAACACAGCACACTGGCATGTTTGGAGGGAAATCAATATCAAAGAGGCAGTCAATCTGAATTTTGACATGTGGGGAGGCAGGGGTCAGGATTTGTTGTCCTTCACGCTGACTGCTTTGAACTCCCCTCTGACCTTACGCAGCACATCAGAATCAACACAGAAGCCAAATCAAAGATCTCACTGCCTCACAACAGTTACCAAGTGACCTCAGACCAGTCCCACTGGCATCCTGCTTACCGCAGCACTGCTCTAAACTGTTCTGGGGTCAGTTAGACAGGCCTGTCCAGAGGGATTTGTCTGGAGGCTGAATGGCAGTTAAGAGACAGCCTGTAGTCCTCTGTGGCCCCTTTTGGCCCTACTGACCCTCTCTATAAACACACCAAAAGGACATAGGGACCAATTCAGTCTATATTTGTTTGTCTTGGGTCCACAGCCAAAACATTATTTTATCTGCATGGACAGGATATGCAATGATTAAAAATATGGAGGTTTCACGGTCAATATATCCTCAGGTTTTTGTTCAAGCAGAGCAAATCTATTTATAAATGGGCAGATGCTTTAGCCACCTGAACAGAAACACTCCATATACTGCAGTGTATACAGTGCAGTGCATCAGTGCAGTGCAAAAATTCAAATATTATCAAATATATATTATTTTACTAGGCAATTTATCACATTTTACATTACACCATAACTAAAAACACAAAAGTATAAAAATCCAAAAGCACCATATTGTAGCATGGCACTTTGCATTGGAAAGCACTCTCATTTTCCTCAAAACTGGTTGTTTCATTATTTTTTTTTCTGATGGGTACTTTGCGACAACTGTACTGCTCTGTACAAAAGACAAAAGGTTTTCTAATATAAGAACCTCTACCTGTACCGACTGCCATGGAAAAGATGCTAAATGGCTGTCGTACACAAACACAGCTGCCAACACACACATTCACACACAGTTTGACGGTGACAGCCTCCTGAATGCCTGGGGTAAAGGACTAAACACTGATGCCACTACACATCAGCAGACCTGCGGCCGGGTCCACCTGCCAGAGCCGTCTGCGATTGCTGCTCGTCTCGCACACACACACTACAGCATGACAGACAGGAGAAAACTCTGATGTGCTACTCATTTGCATTTCTGGCAAAACATCTGTGATTCTTATTGTATGCATTCTGTATCACTGACAGTCACAACATGATGCTCTTTGTCATATTTACGTAGATTACAAATGACAGCAAAATAATCTTCTCTAGCATAATCTTCTTGAACACGAGTAACATCTGAGTCACGGGTTATGGCTTCACTTCAAAGAAAGAGTTTCTGTAATGTTAGCATTAGCCAAGGAGGTGTAATATAGCTGGAGAGAGCTATAACAAAGGCAGCTGCATGGATGTCATATAGAAGTCGCCTGTGTGAACTACATGCGACATAGGCCTAGTACTACGTGAACACAAAGTCAAAGGCAAGTGTGCATTGCTGGGAAGAAGAAGAAGAAAAATAACCTTCCTAAGCTGTTTTTACAGTCTCTCAGTCTGGTCTATTACTCAGACTATTAAAGGGCTTTTAGTTACTTTTTAGGGAGACTAGCTTAAACGAGCTAAGACTAGCAACCACCCAGAACACCCTAGCAACTGCCTAACAGCCCTCTCAGAATACCCTATCAACCACCTAGCAACATCATAGCAACCAATCAGAACACCCTAGCAACCATCCAGCAAACACTTACAGTGTCCTAGCAACCACCAAGAACACCCTAATTACCACCTAGCAATGGCCTAGCAAACTGTCAAACTAGCAACACCCCAGCAACCAACTAGTAACCACCCACAACACCCTGGCTAGCAAGCACCCAGGACACCAAGTAACCACTTAGCAACAGCCTAGCAACCACACAGAACACAATAACAACCACCTAGCAACACCTGAGCAACCAACGAGCAACCACCCACAGCACTCTTGCAACTGCCTAGCAACCACCCACAACACCCTGGTTAGCAACCACCCAGAACACCTTAATAACCACCTAGCCTAGCAAACTACCCCCTAACAATCAGCTTGTAATCATCAACATCTATCTATCTATCTATCTATCTATCTATCTATCTATCTATCTATCTATCTATCTATCTATCTATCTATCTATCTATCTATCTATCTATCTATCTATCATCTACACTTTCATTTCAGGCTTTCTCAGGACAACATCATTGTCTTGACATCTAGTTTTAAATTGTAATAATTTAATAACAATATTACTGTTTTTACTGTACTTTTGACCAAATAAATGCAGCTTTGGTGAGTAGAGATAATCAAAATGTACTTTCGAATAGGCCATCAGTGGAAAAAGATGGTATAGTTAAGGCATATACCAGCAGGGGTTAACTGGGACATGTTAACCATGTAAACCTTGACCTATTGACATTAACAACATTGTTCTTGAGAAAACCCCTTAGAGTCTACTACACATTACTAAACAAGCTGCGGTTAAATGTTGACAAGCTGAACACTTCTAGTTACACAGGCCAGTGGAACAGTGGAACAAAGGAATGACTTATTCATTATGCCAGGGGCTCGGTTTGATTCCAAATCAAATTTTCAGACATTTGTTTTTAATTAATGGCGTCTCAAATGTTATCGTTCCATTAAATATTACATGTGATGGGCAACCCTTCCCATAGGCTTCGAAGACTCTGATGCGAGTTTCTTTTTAGGCCTTTCTGTCTTCTGAAATGAAATCTCAGCTGATTACGAAACAGATCTGCGTTGACATTGAAACATTCAAAGTCTGTTATGTGTGGGAACAAAAAGCCTTATTGCAATCAGATAATTAAATTAATCTGAAAGTATATCGCCTGACTGGCACGTATTGACTTCCCCCTGATGAATTATGGCACACTGATACATAACGGATACCTAAACTCAAAGCTGTGTTCAAACAATGTTCGTTTCACAGTGAAAGATTCTCACTTCAGGCAGATAAGACGAAGCTCTTATCTGAATGTGTTTATGCGAGAGCGAGAGAGAAGAGAGATGGGTGAAGCGTCTGTTAGGTGTACTGATACAGATGGGTATGTATTTCAAAGAGAGATGTGTAGAAAAAGCTGATTCAGACCTGTGACAGGACGGGAGAAGCACTGTGCTCACAAACCTCAGGCAGCCATTGTGACTGCTGTATCACTGAGAGAGACGGCAGCTAAAACTAGGTGGTTGCTATGGTGTTTTGGGTGGTCGTTAGGTTGTTTTGAGAGATTCGCTCATGATGGTACCGGCAAACAGAATAAAATCTTTAATAAAGGGGTGACTTTAACTTTGCTCAATTTTAAGGACTATAACATCATTGCGAAACTATTGGTTCACTGAGAACAATATATGTACAGCATTTAATACGTATACGCACATGTATGTACGATATATGCAGTTTGTGGTATGTAAATAAGCTTGGGCCCTAATAATAATATTTCCATTTGTTTTGTTGTTGTCAAAATACAAAAATACATTAGTAACAGACTGAAAAATAAACGAGGTTAGTTGAACGGTAGTCCTACAACTTGCCAAAAAATATTACGAAAATAATTTCTGGTTACACTTAATTTCGATAGTCCACTTTAGACATTCTACTAACTATACATAACTTTGCATTTACATCAGCTACATTCATTTTTAACTACGTTAACTGTAATTTTTAATAGTTTTAGTAGACTGCAGGTTAGGATTAGTTGAATAAGTTGACATGTACTTGCTAATTTATTTGTAGTAAGTCGAATGTCTGTTGGGGACCATCACAATAAAATGTTAGCAGATATTAAGCAGACAGCCTACTAATATTCTAATGACTTAAAAGTTACTTCAAATGAGTTCATTGTCTAAAGTGAGCTATCCAAATAACGTATTACTTTTTTTTGGACAATTTGTGCAACACAACATTATCCTGAACAAACTACATAGCAAGTCATTTGTCTGGAAATTTTCTCCAGGATGTTGGGAATAAAACATTAACATTCACATATTCAAAATAAATTCCCTGGTTTGTATCTGTAAGGCTAAAATTACCTCTCAAGCACATATTTAGACAAGGTGATTGGAAGGAGATCAGAAGGAGGGATGCAAAAACAAAACAAATCTAAGTGAAACTGAAATAAAATAAACAAGAGACAATGAGTTAAGACAAGACAACTTTTGAGAGGGCATAAAAAGCAAAATATCTCTCACCACACGTTGTTTGACATTGGGTTTCTGCAGGAGCCATTCGATGTCCAGTGTTTGTCCATTCGACTGCCAGAACTGGTGATGACAAGGCAATGTGGCATTGTCCCCGACAACCCGCTTCATCTCGGTCTGAGCCCCGGCCGAGAGTAAACTCAACAGCACTGTAGAGAAAGAAGCACGCACAAGATGTCTATGAGATCACACAATGGTATATATCATGAAATGTTAATCGCGTAGCACCTGCACTAAACTCTAACAGATAGTGTTAAGAAAAACACTTGTGAGATCAAAACATATTTTCTGAAACAACCATGCCATTTTAGCTGGCTTCTACAAGTCTTTGAGCTCTTTTATTGTGACTCATGTTCACCAGGACTTCCATCCAAGTGCTGCACATCACAAGTTTAATGCTGTACAGGGTGCGCTACCGAGCAAATTTACTGTCAGAAAAGGCAAACATATGGAGCTGGTTATGTGATGCAAACATCAAAATGAATTTGTTTACAAATCATGCACTATGGTAAAAGTATTTTGCGGTCGTAACATAGCATTGTGCAAGAAACCACACAAATACATCTTTATTAATGAATAATCTGCCCCAGAATCATAATTTATGTGAAAAGGCATACCAATTAGTTGTATTTTATTACTTTTAGTGTTGATTTCAAACTGGAAACTGCAGTGAACTGAATGTATAGGGTTTTGGAGTTTTAAAAACGGTAGTCCTACAACTTGCCAAAAAATATTACGAAAATAATTTCTGGTTACACTTAATTTCGATAGTCCACTTTAGACATTCTACTAACTATACATAACTTTGCATTTACATCAGCTACATTCATTTTTAACTACGTTAACTGTAATTTTTAATAGTTTTAGTAGACTGCAGGTTAGGATTAGTTGAATAAGTTGACATGTACTTGCTAATTTATTTGTAGTAAGTCGAATGTCTGTTGGGGACCATCACAATAAAATGTTAGCAGATATTAAGCAGACAGCCTACTAATATTCTAATGACTTAAAAGTTACTTCAAATGAGTTCATTGTCTAAAGTGAGCTATCCAAATAACGTATTACTTTTTTTTGGACAATTTGTGCAACACAACATTATCCTGAACAAACTACATAGCAAGTCATTTGTCTGGAAATTTTCTCCAGGATGTTGGGAATAAAACATTAACATTCACATATTCAAAATAAATTCCCTGGTTTGTATCTGTAAGGCTAAAATTACCTCTCAAGCACATATTTAGACAAGGTGATTGGAAGGAGATCAGAAGGAGGGATGCAAAAACAAAACAAATCTAAGTGAAACTGAAATAAAATAAACAAGAGACAATGAGTTAAGACAAGACAACTTTTGAGAGGGCATAAAAAGCAAAATATCTCTCACCACACGTTGTTTGACATTGGGTTTCTGCAGGAGCCATTCGATGTCCAGTGTTTGTCCATTCGACTGCCAGAACTGGTGATGACAAGGCAATGTGGCATTGTCCCCGACAACCCGCTTCATCTCGGTCTGAGCCCCGGCCGAGAGTAAACTCAACAGCACTGTAGAGAAAGAAGCACGCACAAGATGTCTATGAGATCACACAATGGTATATATCATGAAATGTTAATCGCGTAGCACCTGCACTAAACTCTAACAGATAGTGTTAAGAAAAACACTTGTGAGATCAAAACATATTTTCTGAAACAACCATGCCATTTTAGCTGGCTTCTACAAGTCTTTGAGCTCTTTTATTGTGACTCATGTTCACCAGGACTTCCATCCAAGTGCTGCACATCACAAGTTTAATGCTGTACAGGGTGCGCTACCGAGCAAATTTACTGTCAGAAAAGGCAAACATATGGAGCTGGTTATGTGATGCAAACATCAAAATGAATTTGTTTACAAATCATGCACTATGGTAAAAGTATTTTGCGGTCGTAACATAGCATTGTGCAAGAAACCACACAAATACGTCTTTATTAATGAATAATCTGCCCCAGAATCATAATTTATGTGAAAAGGCATACCAATTAGTTGTATTTTATTACTTTTAGTGTTGATTTCAAACTGGAAACTGCAGTGAATTGAATGTATAGGGTTTTGGAGTTTTAAAAATGTAGGTAGAGGGACCTTTTTTCAATGACCTTTTGTTGTTTTTCTATGAAGATTAATTCGGGCATGCTATTCTAATGGAAAAAAGAGGGGCTAATCGCACCATGCTAACCAGCCAAACCTTAAACTCTTAGTTCTGCTGATGTAATTAAGGCATTTGGGCAGAGAAAAATAATCTCAAACAATAATATCATATCCCATTATGATCCAATCAAATCCTGGTGGATAAAAAAGTCTCTTTTTCACAATTGTGAATTGGGAATGTTTCACATGGGAATACGTGTTACGTGTTGTGAATGCCATTTCATGTTGTTCATGTTGTACTAAACATTTTTTACAGGTTCAATTTTTGACAATAAAGTTCTACTACAAGACTGAAATGATCATTCAGTCTAACAAAACACTGCAGCAGCACGTAAAACACTTTAGTACAACTTTGGAAGGTTAGCAAAGTCCCAAAGTCCCAAATTCCCACATTTCACACTCTTCAGATTGATACATTTACAAATGCACCACAAAATGGCAAGTCCACATCAAGTATGTTATTTCAGACAGGGCCTCTATGAACCCAGAGTCCTTTCTGCTACAGGGATCCGGGCTAATTTACTGGAGGCTGCTGGACATTGCCGGAGGCTTGAGTAGCATTACAGACAGGCGTCGTGGGGATTTGCAGACTAGTTAGGTCCCATGAGGGACGAATAGGATGAAATGCGCAATTTCTTCCACCTGGTGAGAGGAGCTTGCAATACAAACAATACAGCATACTCGCAGCTTCACCAGTCTTATTTGTGCAAAACCAACAGATATTTATGGAGCTCTGGCATTAGCATAACATTACACTTAATCTGCTGTCAAATATTGCAAATAGCTGCAGACTCTTCACGTATGCAACTGTTGCTAAAATGATGCCAGCATACACATGTCCTGCTTCTGTAAATATTATGACATTTCCTCATTTTAGCTCTTCAACCCAAGGGAATAGGGAAGAGAATGAGCTTGGGATTGATGGATGTGCCGTTTTAAATGTGTTTTGTCTGGCTGTGCTCATTTGGCAATCATCATGTCATGTTAAGAATGCTTGTGCCACGTGTCGCTGGCAATGCAAGGCTCGTGATTAGTTGACTGACATGCATGAGTGACTGTCTTTAACCACCTGTGCCAAAACACCGCTCCTACTGCGTCATGATACAAAGTCAACGGGCTGTAATGCATCCGATTTATGGTTCCTGGAGTCCACCGGGGCATGTGGCCACTTGACCGCGACAAGTCTTCATCACTATATGCAAGCTGCAAAAGTATACTCAGAAAGTTCTCAGAGCTGTGATCTAACCGTAATGCACATACTCACTCCTATTGCTTATGCTGATGTGGACGACTTGGGGCTGACATTTTTTTAGCCTGCTGTTCAAACAAACATTTCTGGAGCCTCTTAACGTAAAGCCAAATACGCACCAGTACATAGATTTCCAGAGTCATGGCCTAATGGTTAGCACTTGAGCTCCCATACATTAAGCTTTAATGCTAATGCTAATACAGATGACTTGAGTCTAACAATTTTGTCTGCATTTTAGATGTTCAAACAAACATTTCTGGAGTTTGTTGTCAAAATGCAAATCCAAGAACTCCTCAGTACATAGTTTTTTTAAAGATGTGGCCTAACAGTTAGCACATGAACTCCAAAACATAAGCTTTAATGCTTATGCAAATATGTAATATATATAAATAGATGACTAGAGTCTGACACTTGATAGCATTTTAGATGTTTGAACCAACATTTTTTATTTTTATTTTGTTGTTCTAATTGAAAGAAAACTCTTTAGTACATTATTTTCCAGACCTGCCTACCAGTTAGCATATGAGCTCCAATACACTCAGCTTTAATGCTACAGCTAATGTGGATGACTTGAGTTTGATACTTTTGTTAGCATTTTAGATGTTCGAACCAACATTTTTTGGAGTTTGTTGCTCCAATTTAAAGCCAAATAATCTTCAGTATGTTGTCTTTAAGAGCTACCTAACAGTTTTAGCGCAAGAGCTCCAATACACTGAGCTTTAATGCTAAAGCTAATGTGGATGTCTTGAGTCATGACACTTTTGTCAGCATTTTAGATTTTCAAAGAAACATTTTTTGGACTTTCTTGTCAAAATGTAAAGCCAAACACACTCCTGTACATCATTTTCCAGAGTAGTGGCCTAAGGTTACCACATGAGCTCCAACACAGTGAGCTTAAATGCTAATGGTAATATGGAATACAAGAGTCTGACAACAACATTTTATTTGTTCAACCAAACCAAAATTTTTTTTCCCAGTTTGTTGTCCTAATTGAAAGCTACTCTTCAGTATACTCTTCAGCTCCAATGCATTGCGCTTTAATGTGGATGATTGAGTCGGACACTTTTTGTCAGCATTTTAGATGTTCAAACTAACGTGTTTGTAGTTCCCCTTCAGGAGCTCAAGCTGCGTCGAAACTCTATGGGAACGCCTTCATCAGTCCAATGGGTGAGACGTCACGGGCGGGGTGACGTAGCGACCAGGAAGCTTAAAAGCGTTGGATACACAGGCAGTAGTGGTGGAAATTTTGATTCTTTCAAGAGTTTTGTTTATTTTCAGTTCATTCGCCAAAATTATTTGTTCAGATTCGTTCACTGATTCGTTCAGTGACCATTTCTTCATATTACATAAATACGCCAGCAGGTGGCAAAAAACAGTGTCTTATTTGTTAAGTCTTATGTCAACGAACATATTCACTTGTTACAAAAACTGATTTGGCTTTATTAAAATGTCTAAATAAGTTGTTCCATGTACCATTGACATGTACCAGTTCGGTCATTTCATTCACGAACGAGCTAGATGTAACAGTTCATTCAAATCGTTCACAAACGAGATGTAGCAGGTCATTCAACTCGTTCACGAATGACATGTACCAGTTCGGCCATTTCATTCACGAACGAGATGTAGCAGTTCATTCAACTCGTTCACAAACGAGATGTACCAGTTCATTCAACTTGATCACGAACGACATGTACCAGTTCGGTCATTTCGTTCACTATCGAGAAGATCTCTCGATCTCGTTCAGACTCAAAAGAAACTCGTTCAGTGAAGGGCATATTCGTTCACTACATTCATCTCAAACTCGAAGGCTATTGGCTCGAGGTTTAGTCATTCTTTGACCGGATGAAATAGTCCACAGAGCTACCCGGTTCACCGAGCTGCGCATGCGCTGCTAATTGCAGCCGCGCTGCTCTGGAGGGAGGAATTTCAGTGAACGAGAAATATGAGTCAATGGATTACATGAATGAGAACGATTTGTTAAAAAAAGAACGATTCGTTCACGAACGAAACATCACTAACAGGCAGCTTTCTGTCATTCAGCAAGTGCTCTGTGTGTCTTATTTATTGTTGTCTTTCCCAGTTGCACAAGCATATTAACAAAGCTTAAGGGCGAGAGCAAGCAGCATGGTAAACTGTGTTCCTCCCTGCCCGAGTTACATTACGGGTGGGGATATACACGTTTTGTGTGTCGTTTGCTGAGGAGCGGAGCTCACACAGTCAGCTCTCGAGGGGGCTATTTGTGCTTCTACCCACTGCAAACGCTCCGCTCCCGCCGGGCACACTCCGAGGAGTGTTTGTGATTGTTGTAGTTCCAGTCCCGCTGCTGCTGAGGCACGGCGGCTATTGAGATTGCGGGGATCGCACTTGGATCTAGCAGCCAGGTTGGAGACGGGCTCGCCCTTTCTCTGCCTGCACTCCCTAGATCTAGCGCTCTCTCTCAGGTTCAGAAACCCACGCTGCGGTCTCTTCCCCCTCTGAGTGAGCGCTCGCTGCTGCAGCTATCTTTCTCCGAGGAGATTGATATTGTTTGTATATGAGCAGACTGCTTTTAGATCGCTGGTTTTCCCTGCCCTCGCTAAATAAGGGGTGGTTATGCACGCGATTTATGTGCAGTCTGTTTTGGAGTAGAGCACACAGTCAGCTCTAGAGCGGTCATTCCCTGCCGGTTCGCCGTTTTGGGGTACCGATCTAGCCGCTCTGGTTACACCAGAGGTCAGTCTTGAGAGACTGAATCCCTTAGTAGACTATTTGACAGCGTGGAAACTTCTGCCAAATGTGTCTCAATGGGTCCTGCACACTGTAGAGAGAGGCCACGGAATCCAGTTTGGTTCTCCACCTCCTCGTTTCTGCGTGGTTCTTCCCACTCTGTTGGGCCCCGAGCAGGCTCTGGTAATGGAACAAGAAGTAAACACTCTCTTGAGAAAGGAGGCCATCGAGGTGGTCCCTCCTCACGACAGAGAGTCCGAGTTCTAGAGCCGGTACTTCATAGTTCCGAAGAAGGATGGGGTGTTGCGTCCTTTTCTAGATCTGCATCAGTTGAACCGCTCAGTCACGAGACTGAAGATCAGGATGCTCA